GAGGAAGGCAGAGATGGTGATGATGATGGTGATGGTGGTGGTGATTGTGATGGTGATGATAGTGGTGATGATGATGGTGATGATGGTGGTGATGACAGTGATGGTGATGATGGTGGTAATGGTGGTATTGATGATGGTGGTGATGGTGGTGGTGGTGGTGGTGGTGGTGGTGGTGATGGTCATGGTGGTGATGGTGATGGTGATGGTGGTGGTGATGGTGATGGTGGTGGTGATGGTGATGGTAGTGATGGTGGTGGTGATGGTGGTGGTGATGGTGATGATGGTGATGGTGATGATGGTGGTGATGGTGGTGGTGATGGTGATGGTGGTGGTGATGGTGATGGTGGTGATGGTGGTGATGGTGGTGATGATGATGGTGATGACGGTGATGGTGATGATGGTGGTGGTGATGGTGATGATGGTGATGGCGATGATGGTGGTGGTGATGATGATGGTGGTGGTGATGATGGTGGTGATGATCGTGATGGTGGTGGTGATGGTGATGGTAGTAATAGTGATGAATACGGTGGTGATGGCAGTGATGATTATAGATAGTCAGATAGATACATACATACATACTAGATGGATACATGATTGATGGATGGATAGAGAGATGATAGAGAGAGACACAGAGAGAGAGATAGATTATCAACAGATGGTTAGATAGATGCTAGATAGTTGTTGGATGGAAAGATTGATAATAGAGACATAGATAAAGAGATGTTAATATATACTCAACAGATGGATAGATAGATTACAGATTTGAAAGAAATGGATAGATAATACATAGGAAAATAGTAGATAGAAGATTGATGGGTGGATAAGTGAGTGAATGGATGGATGGACAGATGATAGATAGATAACACATGGTTAGGTAAATAGATCGGTAGATAGACAGACTTATTGTGAAGGAAAGATTGGCTCATGTGACTGTGAAGGCTGAGAATTCCCACGATCTGCCCTCTGCAAACCAGAGCCCCAGAAGTGCTTGAGTTCTGTTCAGTCTCAGTGTGAAGGCCTGAGAACAGGAAAGCCAAAGGTGTAAGTCCAGGTCTGAGGGCGGGAGCCCCACGTCCCTGTCCAGCCGACAGGAGACAGACCCTCCCTCCATCTGCCTTGTTCTATTCAGACCCTCGAGGGAGAGGGTGCTGCCCACAGTGGGGAGGGGAGACTGCTCCACTCAGACCCCGTTAAAGGGCTGGCCTCATGCAGAAGCACCCCCACAGACACACCCAGAAACAGCACTTGACCCCGTCCATATCTGGGAGACCAGCCACTGTAACCTGGGACACCTATAACGTGGGGGAGGTGGGGCTTTGACTTCTGGGACCTTCTAATACCCGCCTCCAACCAGGGCATCACCTGTTAACCATTTCCATCTTAAAGAAGGTCCAGGGACTTCACTGATGTCCAGTGGCTAAGACTTTGCCTTCCAATGCAAGGGGTGCAGATTTGATCCCTGGTCAGGGAGCCAAGACCCCACACACCTTTCAGCCAAAAAATTAAAACATAAAACAGAAACAATACTGCAACAAATTCAATAAAGACTTCTTTAAAAAATGGTCCACATTAAAAAAAAAAATCTTGATAAAAGGTCCAAATGGCCAGCCATGTTGATCTTGAGAGGGAAGCAGAGGGGCAGCATTTTAGCAAAAGGAAAATTGTTCTCCCAAAAGTGAGGGGTTCTAAGGATTCTGAGGGTAATATTCAGAGGGAAAGATTTGCTCCTGCCCTGACCTGGTGGGAATGGCAGGCAACATCTCGCCATCAGGGCTGAAGGACCAAGTCCCAGCCAGCAGTTTGGTCCTGGGAGGACAGAGGGGGTCTCTGCTCCGAAGTCGGCAAGCTCCAGTTCACTGGGGAGGGGCAAGAATTCTACAGTCCTGCCCTGTCAGATGATGTTCTTCCTACAAAAGTATTCGAATCTCTCCTTCCTCGGGCAAGGAAGTAGGATTAGCACAAGATTATTCAATGCAGATTATTCAGCACAACATTATTGGGCTTTCCTGGTGGCTCAGATGATAAAGAATCTGCCTGCAATGTACGAGACCTGGGTTCGATCCCTGGATCAAGAAGATCCCCTGGAGAAGGAAATGGCAACCAACTCTAGTATTCTTGCCTAGAGAATTCCATGGACAGAGGAGACTGGCAGGCTACAGTCCATGGGGTCACAAAGAGTTGGACACGACTTAGCTGCTAACACACATGCATTCAAAGGAAGCAGTTTGTCCCATTCCCCAGACCCTGACCCCTACCCGGCAATCGCAGGCATATGCCTGGATAAAGCGGTACCAAGTCTGAGCCCAGCCTGGCAGGAGCTGGCAGCATCTGAGTGAGAAGGAGAAGACACCAGCCTGAGGGCTAATGAGAAACCATCCTGAGAGGTGGGATGTCAGGAGACCAGATGCGCAGAGTCTGAGACAAGCTGAGGCTCGGTGCTCCCCAGAAAGCCGGGGTCTGGGGATGGAGCTTGGAGGAATCGGGCAAGCTTTCCTAAGGGACCCCTTGCTCCCTGGGAAAAGCCAACGGAGGCGGGAATTGGGGTGAGTGACCAGCAACCTCGAGACATCACGGCACAGCTGGATTCACCCACGGACATGAGCTCCATCTTGGGACAAACGCCCTCATGCATTTCATAAGAAATTAGTGGTCCTGATACAGGTGGAGGACTTAAAAATCCACTCAGAACCATCCCTGCAGCTTCCATCCTGAGAAGGCAAACCCTTCCATTACCGTGATGACCAGATCTTGGGGAGGAGCAAAGCCAAGTTCCTTGAGCTACTAACATGCTCACATCTGGCTTTGCACAGTTCATCCTGACATCTGTGGACCCTGTCACTGAAACGGGTACACAATTTTATCAGCCAGTATCTCCATATGGATGAAGTTTAGTGAAAAGCTAATTCACCGATTGGGAATTTTCCTCCCCAAACATCCTGGTTTAGTTCCTCGGGGTCTCCCCCTGCACGGAGCTCCCCGCAAGCCCCTCAGGACCCAGTGTGAACGTGGCCTTGCTCCCATAGCCGTGAGAGGCCAGGAGGGGAAGCAACGATCCTCAGAAGGTGGACGGGCCAAGTGTGACTTGGAAGATTTCATTCTGGCACAAAAGCATAGACAGGAAAAAACGATGAAGTCTAGAATCAGAAACATGAGTTGTGGTCCCCAAACACACTTGCTCTATTTGCTGGAATGGTCCGTCCACACACATGTGGGATTGTCACCGACAACCTGCACACCACGGAGGTTGGTGGTGTGTCCACAGGCGGATGAGGGGTCGGCAGAAATGTCCCAGTGATACTTTCAGGAGTTTCAGGCCAAAGCTGGTGTTAGATGAAGCACTCCATGGGGAGGAACGTGCCCTCACTAAACCCCACTCCCTGGAGAGTGTGATGTTTCTCCTCTCTCTCTGATGCTGGTAACTGGCTGGGAAGCATCGAGAGTGCACCGTGGGTGCGCATGTGCCAAATTTATAAATACTAAATCTCACCATGTGGGCATCTCCCCCCACCTCTCTGTCCTTGTTTCTTGCTGGAGACATGGGGGCCGTAACTTCCCAGGCCCACACACACAAGTCATCTGCTGGCCCTGCTCTTTCATAATGATATTTTCTGGGACTGACATCATCAGGAAAGCATAATTCAATTTTTTCAAATTAGCCGTTTATTACAGTGTGGGCAAGACATGGATATTTCCATGAATCACACATACACAAGCAGTGAAAACTAAAAATAAAATGAGTTTTCCCGATCGGCCGGGTAATAGTTTAATTGTATACAGTTACTCTGACATTAAAAGCTGATACCTGGCAAGCTTTATCGAGTAACAGGGACTTTTAAATGTGCCAGTGTTCCTCCACATGTAACGCAGGTCAATTGTAAGAGGGATAACCATAATGATTAAATCATTAAAATTTTGTCTATGCTTCACAGAGCATAGAGAAAATTAACTTCCCACCAACCTCATTTTTCTGCTGAACATGAAATAATGATTTTCTGCCAGTATAATTACAAAGTTAACATCTGATAGAGTCAGCATCCGGGGGGGATTATCGCAGGCATGAGTATTAGACCTCATTACCAGCTTGACTGCAAAATTATTACATCTTGTAATTGGAGGGTGAGATTTATATACAGATTGGCCGGGTTTCTGTAAGATTGTAATTACAAGCTTCGTTGGTTTGCTACTTATCACACACTGCAGGAGGAGGCAGAAACAAGCCTAGGGAAGACCATTTCATTAAGCTGTAACCCCATCAGGGGAGGGGCCCTGTAACGTCTCTGTATTTATTAGGCCAAACAGAGCTGTTTGCAGAAAGGGAGACCATTTATTACCGGCTGACAAATGGGATTTCATTTATTTAACCTCGGCGATCTATTTCAGTAAAATGTACAAACGAGCCATCCATTTTATGATTCCAGAGTCAACGCTCAATTATCTAAAGGCTAACCGAGTGTTAAAGCGGCCATCTGCTAGGATGAATCCATTGATTTAATTTGCTCCACACTGCTGAATGATTCTGGGCAGGCGGGGAGCAGGGCCGCGCCGTGTGAGTGATGCGGGCGCGGGCCCTGCCACCTCCGGAGCGCGTGTGCGCCTGTGCGCGCGCGTGTGCGTGTTTAATCCTCCTCACAATAGAAGCAGGCGATCAATAGCAGCTTAAATTTTATGAGACAGGAGTTAAGTTGTTCTGCCCAAGCCAGAACACCTTTGTTCTCCCGGAGCAAGTAATCTCTGCGGTGGAATTAATATTGACAGGCTGGCTTCTTTGTGGCTAATTTGGAGGGCGCCCGGGCCAATGGGCGGGCGGCAGCGATAGAGCTGCTTTTCGAGTTCATTACCGGCCGAATCGATGCCGCGGGCCTCCGCCTCCGCCGGCGGGAGGCCGCTCCCCGCTTTCTGCAGCAGTCAGACCCCACTGGCCCTTGACTCTTTTAAGGGAAAAAAAATTATTTTGGACAAGCAATAAATCAGTAGGCGGGCGTTTCTCTGTGAGGCGTTACTGGCGCTCTGGCGCAGAGGACGGTGGGAGGCAGACGTGGGCGGCCGGCGCTCGGGTCCCCGCGCGGCCCCGCTGTACTTCCAGGACATTCTTCTCCCCGAGAGACTGTCCCCGCCCTTAGAGAAGGGACCCCTCTCCCGCAGCTGCCCAGCTCTGCGGGAGTCCGTCTTCCAGCCCGGGGGCCTCCCGGAATCAGAAGCCCGTCCCTCTCCGCAGGACCGGCCTCGGCTTTGTGCGTTTAGCGGAGACCGTGCACTCTCGGGGAGGAGGCCCGGGCGCTCCGAGAACGACGCGCCCCGCTGCAGGTCCCCAGTGTCCCGGTGACCTTCCGTCCCAGGGCTGGCCTCCCCATGTCCTGCTCCTATGGGCGCCTCCTCCCTCCTCTCTCTGTCCTCCACGATGGGCTGGGCCCGTGCCCAGCCGGCCTCTGCGCCCCACGCACACCCCTGCCCATCTCCGCCTCGCCCACCGCCCAGCTCTCCATCTGGAGTCCGCAGTCAGCAGCAAGAGTCCAGGACATTTGGAGTCATGCCTGTGCACGCTTCAGCCTCTGGGCTCCATGGGGTGCCCTTCCGGAGGCTCCACAGTGCTAAGGCCAAGGCCAGCTTCAGACCCGGGCGGGAATGGACACGCAACCAGGGCTTCCAGCAGGCTCAGATATGAGGGCATCTGCAGGACCAGCTGTCCAGAGTGAGATGGGCCACAGAGAGCCTAACCTCCCGGGACAGGCCAACAGCACCCTTGCCGGCCAAGGAGGGAGCCCCACCTCCTGCCCACATACACCCAGCACCCCAGGCCCTCAGCTCCGGGCACCGCCACCCGGTGGCTTCTGCTCCTGGCGGCATGTTTGCATTGCTGCGGACAGATGTCCCCATGGGCAAGGATTTGCCAGCTGCCTCCACCAAGGGCAGCAGATTCCCTGGTGGCTCAGATGGTAAAGAATCTGCGTAGTGCATGGAGACTGAAATTGGATCCCTGGTTGGAGAAGACCCCCTGGAGAAGGGAATGGCAGCCCACTCCAGTATTCTTGCCTGGAGAATCCCATGGACAGAGGGGCCTGGTGAGTTGCAGCCCATGGGGTCGCAGGACAGTTGGACAAGATTTAGTAACTAAACAGCAGCAACAAAAAAGTAAACTTGACCACTGAAACTTACCTCCATAGACTCAGAATTATCTTATTGATTCTTGTATCTAAAGCAGCTATGAGATGCTCCATCTGTCCATCCTGTTTGCTCCTTGGGGCCAGCTGCTTTAGGCTGTATTTATTTGGAGCAATTGATAGGATGTATAATGTGACCATTTATTTGCACAATCTAAATGGCTCCCAGAAACCACTGGAGCAGGAAACCGACTCCATTGATCTTGGAAATGGCCAACATGTCCAGATGAATTCTTACACTTGCATCATCTCAGCTTTAAAGACAGTGGACTGAAAAAAACCAACCAACAAACACAAAAATAAAACCAAAAGATGACAATGTCCAAGCAAATAGGGTTTGAGGGACAGCAGTTAGGAGGGACTGTGTCATACCTGTTTCACCAGTAGTCATGTATGGATGTGAGAGTTGAGAAAGAAAGCTGAGCACCGAAGAATTGATGCTTTTGAACTGTGGTGTTGGAGAAGACTCTTGAGAGTCCCTTGGACTGCAAGGAGATCCAACCAGTCCATCCTAAAGGAGATCAGTTCTGGGTGTTCATTGGAAGGACTGATGCTGAAGCTGAAACTCCAGTACTTTGGCCACCTCATGCGAAGAGTTGACTCATTGGAAAAGACCCTGATGTTGGGAAAGATTGAGGATAGGAGGAGAAGGGGACAACAGAGGATGAGATGGTTGGATGTCATCATGGACTCGATGGACATGAGTTTGGGTAAACTCCAGGAGTTGGTGATGGACAGGGAGGCCTGGCATGCTGCAGTTCATGGGGTCGCAAAGAGTCGGACACGACTGAGCGACTGAACTGAACTGAACTGTGTCATACCTAGTTTGGCTTCTGTGCCGTGTGGTGGACACTGTCCACAGCAGCACCTGGGGGCATCAGGAGGCCCCCACTCTTGATCATCACCTGACGGTCATCACCGTCACAGGGGACGGAAGCAGAGAGGCCCACAGTGCCTATCTTAGCGAGTCACTGGTCTGGGCAGGATTTGAACAGGAATCAGGGGTGAGAGGAGGCGGACCCCACTACTGATGCTGAAATGCCTTCTCTGGTCGAGGAGGAGCTGGGGGTTGGCCGGCTGGGGATCCCAGACCCAGAGGGCCACCAGAGGGCCAGCGGGAGGGGGCCTGGCCTCTGAAACCCTCTTCCTCCACGCAGGGCTTGGGCTCCAGGGAGCACCCTTGTTGGACATGTGACCTTTCCTTCTGTTCTACAAATGAAATAGTTGTTCTTATCTACTTGTTTTCAACAATAGAAAAAGAAAGCTGCAGAATATGTCTAAAATTTCCTAAATATCAATGAATTAGTGTGCATTTCATTCTTTTTTCTTTAAAACCTAAAAGCTACAAGATTAATTTATGTTGTTCGTCCCGAGAGAAATTATCCAATTTATAATAAACATTAGTACATAAACTTAGCTGCATCCACATTATTACTTTTATCTAATACACTCAGAGTTCAAGAAAGTCATATTATCTCTTTTTTAAAAAAGAAAAAAGTATAGTGACACCACAAATTGATTGGGAGAAAAAAAATTTGTATTATGTGATTTTAAATTATAATTTTGTAATTCCATTTCTTTTTCTTTAAAAAAACCTTCGTCTAACAGCAAATCTTTTTTCCAAGTTGAAGGCTGTTGGTTCTGCTTGGCTGAATGAAGCATTTTTGTCAGTAGCTCACCACGCATATTCTCCTAGAAGCCACCCACATTTTAAATACAAGCTTTGCAGGCAAAGCAAATTGGTGTGTTTCATAGGACCCTTTACCGGTGTGACAAACACAGTCTTCATCCAGCCCACCAGGGCCCTGGCCGTGGGGAGAAGCAGAGGTCGGGGTGATCCCAGGTTGGAGGGCAGAGGTGGAGGGACAATCGGGGAGTGGATCCCCAAGAAGGAGACATGACCTTCACAGGTGAGAGGAGGGGCAGCCACGGGATGGTGGAGCTGGTCCCCAAGGATGGCATCCTCGCATGCCCAAGCCCACTGATTTTTCCCAGATTCGAGCTGAGTGCTCACAACATGCTCGTCATGGCCATGTGGCCACTGAGACAGCCATCACCATCCAAGAGGTCCTGGAGCAGCTGAGGGGAGCAGAGCCACCAGGTCATGCCAGACCCGGAGAGCTGGGCTCTTGGACATCAGAAGCCAGCAGCAGAGAGAAGCCTCAGAAGTGGACCCGTCCTGACTCAGTAGCACCCACCCTCAAAGCTTCCCAAGGGTGATGCATCCCCAGGGGTAGCGCCTGGAGTGGACGCATCCGGGAAGGTGGGCGACAGGGACTCACAAATGCAGAACCCAGCAACCCTCAGGGACTGGCTCCGACCCAGGGCCATCTGCATCACCTGGAGAAGACCAGTCAGGTGAAGGTGGGCAGATGGGGCCTTCAGGTACAGAATCCAGCAAGACCCATGGACCAGCTCCAGACCCAGGGCCGTCTGGACCACACAGCTGCCTCTGCTCAGCTGCAGAGCCTCCAGGAGAGTTTATCCATCAGCTGTCGACGTGAGCACGTTGAAGGAAGATGATCAAACAGGGACATTGGGCTGATCACTGCTCACAGTCTGGCTGGTAAAGGGTCCTTACCTGATAGCTCAGTCGGTAAATAATCTGCTTGCAATGCAGGAGATCCTGGTTCTATTCCTGGGTCGGGAAGATCCGCTGGAAAACGGATAAGCTACCCACTCCAGTATTCTGGCCTGTAGAATTCCATGGACCATATAGTCCAGGGGGTTGCAAAGAGTTGGACACGCCTGAGCAGCTTTCACTTCACTAAGCCACTATGATCTGGAGTAATGTATATGCAGTACTGAATAATTGGGGAATGTTCGTGACTTAGAAGATTCAATACTCTGGGCTTCCCTGGTGGCTCAGCTGGTAAAGAATCCGCCTGCAATGTGGGAGACCTGGGTTTGATCCCTGGGTTGCGAAGATCCTTTGGAGAAGGGAAAGGCTACCCACTTCAGTATTCTGGCCTGGAGAATTCCGTGGACTGTATAGTCCATGGGGTGGAAAAGAGTCAGACAGGACTGAGCGACTTTCATTTCCAGACACCATCAGTGGATCCCCACATTCCAACAGGGAGAGTTTTCTACAGGCTTGGCAACCGACCACCAACCAATTTTACAAATTTGTGGTTTGAAATAACAGACCGAGCTTGCGAGCTCCCCTTAAACACACCCCAGCTGAGCTTAACCTGGCAGGGAGCTTGTGTGCCCTAAGCCACAACTATCACCGTGCAGAGCAGCCGGGGCACCACTGCAGACCTGGGGCCTTTGTGGCAGATGAAGCTTGATGGGGATGTCCCAGCTCAGGATGGACGGGGCAGCAAGGCTGTGGTCAAGGATGAAACTCCTTCCAGCAAGAATCCTGCCAAGTCTCACCACTGCATGTGTGTGCGTGTGTGCGGAGGCAGGTGTCGGGGTGGGGGTGCCTAGGATGAGAGAGGCGGGGAGAGCGCCTTGCCATAGGAAACTGAGTTATCAGTTGACATGGCCTCAGCAAGATGGTGGCCATGGTATTGCCCACAGCCCAGGCACAGAACCATCTGCATGGACACTGAGTGGTCTTCCTGGAAGAACCCAGGGTCTTAAGGTAAATCCAAGGCCAGGAGAGGAGCAGAAAAGAACACTTAGATGACCATAAATGCCAAAGCAATCCCAGGTGGAAGGAATGATGCTAAATACTTTCCCACTGATACTAGAGAATGCAAGTAATCTAAAGAATAAAAGAAAAATAAAAACAAATACTTTTCTGATTAGACTCCCAGAAAGATATACTAGGATATTATATTCATAGAAGTACACTGGCACTTTTAAGAAGACATGAGGAAGAACTGGTGGAAATTGAATATGGAACTGCTGAAATAAAACATAAAGAATACTATTAGAGACCTCAGGAAAAGTCAAGTAACCCACCTCAATCCCAGAGGAAAAATAATGAAAAATGAGTTAAGAAACATGGTCCACATACAAGTTCCAGAAGGATGATGGAGAAAATGGATGGAGGAGAAATTAAAGGCACAACAGATGAAAGACAGCTATACTCACACTTACCAGACTATGACATTTCATGACATTGCTAGAGGTTGATCATGTGTTGATCTTTCAAAGCCCTTGTCTTTTATTTCATTGTTTTTCATTGGTTCTATTTTCTTTCCAGGTTCTTTTCCTTCTTTACCTAGTTTTTATAGAGCTTAGATTATTAACTTGAGTCTTTTCTTTTGCTCTAATATGAGCATCTAATGCTATACATTTACCTCTATGCCCTACTTTAGCTGCACTTTTGATATGCTATGTTTTTATTTTCATTCAATTAAAAAATTTCTTATGTTGGGGTGAGGGTGAGATATATGAATCATTTAGAGTTGAGCTGTTAACATCAGACATCTTTTTGCTCTTGATTTCTAGATAAACTTCATTAATGACTGAAGACATACTTTTTGTTATTTCAGTACTTTTGGATTTATGGAGATGTGTTTAAGGCCCAGAATATGGCATATCTTATGAACTATGTTACTTCCAAATTGAAGTGTGTTTTGCTGTTGGTGATTAAGTGTTATAAGTCAAGTTGGTTGAAAATACTGTTCAACTATTTTATATTTTTATCAATTTCTATTTTTAGTCCAATTTCTGAAAGAAGAATGTGAAGATTACTTTACTATACTTGTGGATTGTGCCATTTATCTCTTA